AACCATCATAAATGAATTAAATATTGAAAACCAATGAATCTATATAAGAAAAAAAAGCACGCCAACTGAACTATATTTTAACGATTTTGTGATACTGGTATTGGAGAAAACCAATGACGTTCTGAAAGACTATAGAATAATCACCGAAGGAAAAATTAAAGATGCTTGTAAAAAATGAGTTAGGATCAAGTATTTGGTCTATTGCACAAGTTTGTTAATTACTACAACTAATACCATAACAGATTATCTCTTATTCAAATATAATTTGTTCAACAATTCTACAAAGATGAGTTACATAGATCGAACACTTGATTATGACTTATTTTTACAAGCCTCATTATTTCTTCGGTAGTTAGAAAGAAGAATACCACTGCGGCAGTGGTGCAGAATCTGCCGTGATTTTAAAAAATTTCCTTGCACGACAGTGTCTTCCCCCAGCTATTTCCCCAAAACTCTCCCAGGAATCGAAAAATTTCCCCACACGGCCGTACGCGCACGCGGGTAGATTCCGCACCTCTGCCACTGCCTTTCGGTATAAGATACTGTCTAGTGACAGATTCAATGGTTCGATATCTTCCGTACAACTAAGATTTTGGACAGAAGATCGGTCTGACGCAGAGTTCTTGCGCTCCCCATACACACTAACTAACCACAAGAGCAGATGTAATGTCACAATATGAGCAGCAGGCTATCGGATAGATGATTCGAGACAAATAGTCGTTACTGACTTATTAAGAGTCATTTTTATGACTGATGGTATTAAGGTTTGAATACAGTACCTGGTAAATACGTGTCGAACTACGTTGTCGTCACACTGGAATGTGTTGTTAATGCAATTCTTAGTTGACGTGTTTTTTTCCAAACTCAATTTTTAGTTATCATTTTACAATGCTCACTTATTCGAATTCGACTGCGAATAAATCTATTTTACTTCTGACCAGGGTTGCCGATACTTTTTAGGAGTGGGAAGCTAGGAGTTCGGCAAAAAGTGGCTAGATATTGTGCCCGAAAGCGCGGGAGGAGGCAATAACGAAACCTACGGCGATCCGGTTCCTTCCCCGAACTTTACTGAATATGTGATCAAACTATAAAAACAAATATTTAAATTCCCTGAATTGCTGACCAGCTATTCACGTTTGTTATTTCATTCGGACTTGTGGGATATTCTGTATTTAAAATTTACCATGTCATCTAAATCATCATCTTTTCCATAACGTGCATAATCTTTTCTTAATGTACGTAATAAAATCATACTAACAAGGCCAACGAGAAATAGAACCATCATAAATGAATTAAATATTGAAAACCAATGAATCTATATAAGAAAAAAAAACGAATTGAAACAATCAATAAATAAAATAGTGTATTATTTTTTTAAATTACTTTATGTTGAAAAAAGCCAGCATCAAGATATTTATCAAATCGTTTTGAAAATGGAACCTTTGTTGGTTTCCATGTAACTTCATATGAAAATTGTAATTGTACATTTGGTTGTAAACGTACTTTAGCTTCTGATGTTAAATTAACATCAATTATTCTATCATCATTATATCCAATTTCAAATTTTTTATGTGTCCATATATATGCGGATTTTCCTGCTTCATCCATTTCTCCAACAATACCTATGATTAGAAAACTATAATACATAAAAATAAATAAATAATATATAAGCTAACCCCATATTGGTAAATCATCAATAAACATTTGATACCAATAATGATTTTTAATTGCATATGTAAATGTATCATAGAATTCTGGTGTTACAGTTATTTCACAAAAATCTGTTTTTGGTTTATCGTCTAAAAGTTTTTTTTTTTTTTTTATAAAAGAAATAAGAATTTTGAATAAAATTATTTTTCTCACTTCTAAAATTAATTTCGATTCCACTATATTCTAATTCAACACCTAAAATATTTTCACCTAAAGTTTCATGGTAATGTGAGATTTCTTTTTTTATTCCACGACAAAATGGTAATGAAAAATAATTATACGTTTCTTGTCGATTATGATATGGACCAACTGTATTCATCCATAAGACAACTTCATTACCATCTTCATACTAAATAATAAAATTATTTATAAAAAAAACAAAGCAGATTTAAAAAAAAATTTCTTCATACTCTATGATCATGTTCATCACAATGAATGGAATTTAATGTGATTAAAATAAAGAGAAATAAGTGGGAAGATCGATAAATATTCATAATTCAAATTTCGATTTTTATTTCAACTAGAACAATTAAGATAAACTTGATTAGTTACTTGGCTTCATCTATAATATAGAAAAGAAAAAAATTTATATATGTATTCAATTGTTTATGCATTTAGTAAGAATATCATTATTACATCAAAAAATAGAATTCTAAACTGAATTTAATTCACATGATGGTGATCAATAATCGTCCCTCATAGATGCGTCACCATTTCAGGCGAATTATTGGAAAATACAAGATGTTTTTTCCATCAATTAGAGAAAATAATTATTCATGATCTATCTATATTAATACGTCTTCACACTCCTTATAATGATTAGTATGATGGATACACTAGATAGCACTATGTTAAGCCTTAGTTGTGCTTTAAAAGAAGACGTACCCTTAGACAGTTTTTATTGTAGGTGAACTGAGTGAATACGCAAAAAAAAGAAGGAAAGGTAAAATATAAGAGTAATGCATGATTGCTGCTCCATAAAGGCAAGGACAATACGTATGTGGATTGCTACTCGGATTCTATCAGCTCTAACCAATAGATTTATAAATATTGGAAACATATTAAAAAAATTATTTAGCAAAATAAGTAAAAAAAAGTGACAACGACACCAATTAATAACAGACGAATGATGATTACTAAATGTTTTCTTTTTCTTATTGGTTCATTATTTTGTATAACACATTTATGCATTTAATTACAATATTTTATTCTTTGAATTATTATTGATTATAGTGAATAAAGATAAAAATTTTAGAAAATATTTAAACTTATTTTAATAAATATTGAATGAAATGAGTTTAAATAAAGGTCTGTACTTAGTTAATGAATTAAGATAATGGCATTATGTTTTTTGTATACTACAAGCAGCCTTATTTTGACACATTTGTTCGGAATAAATTTTAAAAATGACATCATCCAGTTACATGCTAGAACGTGAACTTCTTGGTTCAGCACGAACTATAATTGATGCACACTCAAATGCTACACTTACTCAACCATCTCAAAATAATACTTTCCGAGGATCATATGGAATATCAAGTCAGTTACCATATCCAACTACAACTCCAAGTTATCATCACCTTGGATACGGAAATAATGCTCCAGATAATTATGAATCAAAAAAAGCTTTAGCTGATGTAAATATATCTTTAATTATAAAATAAATCTTATTGAATTAATGTATTTAGTTACAAGACCAAATGCGTGTATTGAAAAAAGATTTAGAAAAAAAAGATGGACTTATTCAAGAGTTAACATCCATGAGGTAATTGTCAAAAGTAAACTTTGATTTAACTAAAATTTTCTTTTTTTTCTTAAAAGAGATTCAAATAAACATGTTCATTTCGAATCAGATAGATATGAATCATTACTTGGTCAAGACCGAACATCATTTGAAGCAGCTCGACGTGAACTTGATCAATATCGAATGAAAGTCGAAGGATTAACTCAAGATGTAATTGATTTTTTTCTGAATTTTCTAAATTTATTTTATTGAAAAAATTTAGTTACGTGAAATAACAATAAAATCATCTGCTAAAGATGAACGTATAAATGAATTAAAACATGAAATTGAATCATTAAAAAAAGAACATGATTTAGTTATTCATGCTAATAATCAATTACGTTTACGTGTACGTGAACTTGAATCAAATGTTACTTCATATGATTCTGTTGCTAATAAATCATCGTTAACAATATCATCATTACAAAAAGATATTAAAGAAAAACAAGATCAATTACTTGAATTACAATCACGTATAAGGTAAATAAGAAAATATTTATTTTTTTTTTAATTTTCATCGAAAAATTGTTTACTTTAGAACTCATATGGAAGAACGAGAAACAAGTGAAAGAAAAACAGATACTTTAAATAAAAAATTACAAGAATTATTTTCACAATTAAGTGTTACACTTGGAGCAGATTACGGACAATCAAATACAGCTGCATTTGATAAAGTTATGACTAGAGTAAGAATAAGGTTTTTTACTTGTTTAATATTTTGTCATACTTCTCGAAAACATAAAATAAGAATTATAGAGAAATCTTTGAAAGAACAAAGCTTGAAATAAAGACAAGTTATTTGATGAGTCAATATTTGCTCTAGAAGGTCAGATTTTATAATTGACCTTAACAGAACTATGTGACATGTAAAAATGATTACTCTGATTGACTTCTAGTCGTTATTTGCTAAGAGACCTCTTTATATCACTTAAGATTTCCAGAATAAATTTTGCTTTACATAATCTTATTAATAAACTACTTTCACAGTCTATTGTCATCGAGTGTTGACAATTTTATTGAATCTTTTAAATTCTTTTTTGAAATTTTAATAGTCTCAAATATCAGTGTAAATCAATAGGCTAAATGGATATCTTCACACTACAACGGAAGAAAAATATATACTTAAGTTTTAATATTTTTCCAAGATCAATTTCTAGAAAGATTCTTATCTCATTTTTTATCAATGTGTTCTCGACAATCCAGAAATAGAAAGTTCAACAGCAATTGAGAACCAATTCGAGGTATTCTACAATGAGGTTAGCTCGAAGTACAATGACATAATCTCACTGAAGCAGTTACAAAGATTGAAAATTTCTCTTCGTTTTAGATTTCCGATTTCTGTACAATAAATATATCTCTTGACCTTCGTATTAATTTTATAATTAATTGAACTATCACTTTCTTCCTATGTTAAATGTATTTTTAATATTTCTGATTCGTAGAGAAAACTAATTATTTGTTTTTTGTTTTATTAAGGTTGCTGATATTAATGCTGAAAATACATTGTTAAAAGGTAGAATGATTAAAATAGAAGAAATAAATCGATCATTAGAAAATGAAGCTCAAGCAAATCGTTCAACAATTCAACAAATGTCAAATCAATTACATTCATTTGAAAGCTATAATGTAAATCATCGTTTACAAATTGATTCAATTAAAGCTGAACGTGATGCTGCACTTAATGATAAAGAAACAATAAAAAAAGAACTTGAAACAGTTAAATCACGTTTAGATTCTGTGCAAAAAGCTTGGCAAAATGCTCGTGGTGAATTAGATCAACGTGAAAATAGATTTTCATCAAATGAGCTGCATTTAAAACAAATAGAAAATGATTCACTTTATACAAAATCATGTTTCGATGCATTTAAACAACAAATTAGTCAATTATTATCTGATGGTTATGTTAAAGTTGAACCAAAAGAAGATGAAATTAAAGAAAAAATACATTTATTAATGCAATCAAGTAAAGATCGAGGAATTGTAAGTTCTATTTTATTTCTATTAAGTATATCATTACTTTTTTTTTTCTTCATAAGATTATAACAAATTTACAAAATCAAAAAGAACAATTATCAAAACAATTACAAGAACAGATTGAATCGAATAAAGACACAGACAAAAAACGACGTCATACTGAATCTCATATATTGGAATTAGAACAAAAAGTAAAAACGCTTGATAATAATTATACAACAACAGAAGTTTATCGAGAAAATCTTAAACAAGATAAAGCTAAATTTCTTCATTTTCTTGAACGTCTTGCTTCAATAATGAAAATTGAAAATGTATCAAATGAACTTGGTTATGAATTAAATCCTGATGTTATTTTAACACGTGCAGAACAATTAATGAGATCAGAAAATGATTCTATTGTTGATCAAAAAACTTCAATTTATAGTTTACAAAGAAAAATTAAACAATTAAAAGAACAAATTGAAAATAAAGATTTACATTTAGATTTATTAAGAAAAAAAGTTATTAGTTTAGAAGAAGGACGTGCAGCTAAAACAGATTTAGAACGTGAAATTGATGATCATGTTGTATTATCAAGAAAAATGAAAACTAAAGTTGAAACTTTAACACAACAAGTTAATGATTTAAAAAGTGAAAATACTCAATTAAAAGCACAAATGACAGATGTTCATACACTTAAAGTATTAAAACTAATTATTTAATTTAAATAAAATTTATTAACTTTTAAATGTTTTCCCTTTTTAGGGTCGATTAGCTGAACGAGAAAAAGAAATTCGTCGTCTTTTAGAAGACCTTAGTAAATTAGAAAATACACGCGATAAACAAGCTGTTAAAATTTCAACATTACAAGATAAAATACATTCTGTTGATGATGAAGCTAATCGAACATTATTTTCATCTGACAATGCTGTACGAGCTTTATCAAACGAATTAAGATTCCTAAAAGGTTCACTTGAACAAGTTACTGAACGAGAACGACGCGTAAGAAATTAAAAAAATTAAAATAATTTATCTTATCATTATTACGAAACTTTTATTGTTTTTTTAGTTAATTGATTTCCGTGCTTTAATAGCTCGTATGCTTGGTCTTGATGCTAAAACATTAGCTGTACCTGATTATGAAATAACAGCTCGATTAGAACGTCTTCTTACTGTTGTTCAACCAGCTATGGCAATTCCTTTTGTTCAAGTACCTACTTCAACAACAAAATCAACAACTATTACTCAACAACATCAATCTCCTTATCATAATTATCATCATCATCATCAAAATACTCATTCAGCCCATGGACGTCGTCGTAGTCCAAGTCCGATATCTCGACGAACAGAAGGCAATCATCGTGCACGATCACTTTCACCATTACATGTTGGAATTGATCCAAGAACATATTAACTATTTTATAATCCTTAATTTTCTTTTCTTTTGTCATACTTTTCTGTGTGTATATCAATTATGAGAAAAGAAAAGTGTTGAATTTGTTTTTTAAAGTTTGTCTGAATAATTCGATCGTATTTTTTTTATAGTTAACTCGTGATTAAAATTTTGTTTTACTTTCGAAATCATTTCGATTCTTGAGTAAAATAATTATACCAAAGTTTTGTTTTGAAATTTAAAAAAAAACTAATACGACATTTCTGATATATAAAAAAAGATTTATTAAAAAATAAATTCAATGATTGATTCAATTCAGTTAAAAAAACACTTTAATTTTTGTTGAATTTTTCGTTTTTCTCGATCAATTATAAGACCATGTTGTTGAAGATAAGGACGTTCTTCATTGACTTTCGAAAATGTTTGTTTATCAATCCAAGGAGATCTTTCATTACATGAACTTGTTTGATTTAATGATAATCGCTTTTGATGAAGTGGTGTCAAATGACCAGTTGTCGTTTTACTTGTATTCATAGAGATCGAACGTCCTAGAATAAGTTTCGTTTTTGGTGATGTTTGAACCATTGAATTGATACTAGTAGTAGATGATAAAGGTTCTGTTTGAACTTGCAAAGGATCATTATCTTCATTGGACACTGGTGATTGACCAACTGAAGTTGATAAAGCAATTCGTGCAAGATCACGATTAAGACGAATTAAATCACGCTCAATATCACGTTCATTGTTTTCTAAACGTTGTAATTTTTGTCTAAATAAAAAATGAATTATTGGAGCAACTTTCTAACAGAGATCTATGAATTGTAAGTTGAATGAAAGATTAACAGATTCAACTATCGGAAAAAAGACTTTTTTTGCTTCGAAATAATCAGAATAAACTATGTGATTATTTAATCCTGTTATTTAGTCTGAAAACGATTTACAAAATATCGTTATCAGAGATCTACATTGCGCATAAAATCTTCTCGGCTGACGGCGTGGCTGTTCAGCACCTTTCTTATTCGACAAGCATGGAATGGTCTCATCTAACAGTAAGGGAAATTTTTTTTTCGCTAATTTTTTCTTATATTAGTTGCTCCATTATGTATCTTAAAAATTAATGCTTTACTTCTGAACATTTACCTAAGAACAATATTAATTTGAGAATATCACGATATAATATTTAATTACACAGCGTGTAATTGGATATATATATACTTATGGCATTGTCGTCTTCGTCTTAACTAATTTTCTAGTTAAATTTACGAACATTGAAGTTTAAGGAAAATTATATATTATGCTCATCATAATAAAATTGACTGAGTTTTAATTTAGGTCGGTTTGTTATCCAAATCATTATTAATCAATATTGATTGCGATTTAATTTATATATTTAAAAACTAAGTATGAAATGAAATAATAAAACAAGCGATATCTCAGAAAGAATGGGTCAGTCAAACGATTAAGTCACTTCTCGTAACTTTTCGGCGTTCGATGTTCATTCTTTTTTAAAAATTCCTATCAATAGAGTTTAACAGCTGGTATGATTAAGACACGGCCGCACGGCAAACAAATACGAACAGAGGTCGGGCGGAAGTGGCTGCCTAGTCATTGCACTCCAAATTTTATTTCGCAATACGAGCAGTGTACCTCACTGATTATTATATAGTTTGAGATGAAAAATTTTATCAATGAAAATCATTTTATTTTACTTAGGGTGGAGAAAAGACCCGCATTCACATTCTCTCTTCTTCCAAATAATGAGTAGAAAGTAAATCTGACACACATGATTGGACAACTCAATAAGATTATATTAAACACGATAAAGCGATTTGAATCTTATACGAGAAGATGATGATAACGTTTTCTAGTCATTTGTAAAGTCACATGAATTGAGAGAAACATTTTACTAACGATCTACAAGAACAGTACTGATATCGAAGCGAAAAAAAACAATTGGTAGAAAAAGTCCTTCTAAATAAAAAAAAAAAAAAGAAAAGTCGAATAGAAAAGAAAAAATAATTATTCTTTGTCTAATCTGAGGAATTCATTTCTTGACTAAACCTATGTTCAAACAAGTTTTCTTACTTGCATTGCCAATTTAAACCTCTTGGTCCAGTTAAATCACGATTAAGTTTTCTTTCATAAACTTTATTTGTATTAATTCTTTTCATATCTCCATGAATAACTTGTTGCATACTTGGTACAGTTTTTCCCATTCGATCTTTAACTCGACTTAAATCTTCATAATATTGATCACGTTTAATTATATGAGTAAATAAATTATATTGATATTTTTGATGTTGATATTCTTTTAATCCAATATTTTCTTTTTTGATAATAATTTTCGGTGGACTATTCAATGCATTTCCATCCCAAAACTTTTTCTCTGGCATTGTTGTCGTTGCTACAGTGTCGTTTATTCGTTTGACTTGATAATAAATTTTTTTCTCTTGCTCTCGGTTTTTTTTTTCATTATATTTTTTTCCAATTTCTTATTTTTAATTTACCCACTTGAACTTCTTTTGATTCCACCGCCCAAAAACTAACAATCAAATGAAACTCATTCATATATTCACTGTCAAAAAAACATTCCAAAAGACAAAAAAAAACAATATTATCGTTAACTCTCTATCAATAAAATGAATATTGACATCGCGGACGTCGTTATGGAAAAAGAAAATGGAATAATTCGGTTAATAGTCGTACTTCTTGAACGTCCGACAGTATTGTTCACATATTGACAATATATAAATAAGCCATATGTTTATTGTTTATTCACATAACAATATTTGCAATCAAAATTTCAATCATGGAAAATGAATATCAATTTAATTATGATGAAATCAAACGAATATTTGAAAGTGTTCCACAAACAAATGTAATACAGAAAAATATTAAACCGGGAGCATATAAAACTCGCTTTCAGGCTCGTACAAAATCATCAATTATTGTTAACAATGATAAACATACAATAGAAACTGCTTCAAATACAAATTCATTAATGACAAATCAAATTAATCAAATATCAACAAAACAATTTTCATTTTATTTACAACGTATTCGTGTTTATCAAATAATGCAAACTGAACAATTTTGTTTACAATCACAACACGATTTTTATGTGATATCAAATATTATGTAATAGACATTGTTGTTCAATCACATTTCATTTTTGTTGTTTATCTATAGTCGCTGTGTTATTATTTAACCAGCTGGTTGTTTGAAAATTTCTCTTGAATATTATGTAATACAATAAGAATTGCATAAATTGTTCGAAGAAGTTTTTCATTTTCATTTAATCCTAATAAAGGTTTATTTTTAATAATTATTGTTGATGATTCGAAAGGATTTATTGCATAAATAAGATATTTTTGAAATTTTTCTAATTGATTTTCTAATAGTTTTTGATAATATTCATTGAAAATTCGACAGTGAACGATAATTATTAAACCAGAAAGTTCTGAAATTTTTGATGTTAAATAAGAAAATTTGGAATGAAAGGCAAATGAATGTTTTTGTTGATTAAGATAATTATCAATAAACATCAAATAAGTATTCAATGTCTTACAAACATTCAATACATTTAATGTTGTTGATAATGAAATAATTCGAAAATGATCGGTACCCATTAACCAAATGAATAATGATTCATCAGATGATATGTATAAACCACGTGGATATTGATCATTAGTTACCGTACTAAAAAATAAATGAAATATTACTCAATGCATTTTGCTTTTGTGATTATTTGTAAAATTTTTCTCCATGAGTGTTGTTTGAACAAGATGAGTTACTTGTTGTGTTATAACAATGAGTGAATTGAAAGTTTTGAAAAAAAACAAATATTTGTTTACTTTTGACTCTCTTGAAAGTAGTTTTGATAAGTCAAAAACTATGAATTATGATTAGTATTTTGTGTGGTGTTCGAATGTAGGCTTAGAAATTTTCTTCAGACTAATGAGATGATCTTTGAAATTTTGAAAAAATTAGTTTGGATGACAAAATCTTTTTCTATTGTTACTGATTTTCAAAGTGTTTCAAAAAATTCCTCACTAATCTTGAACAAAAAGTAGACACAATATTTCTAATTATATATATTAACGAAGAAAACACAAAGTTCTAATAATTAACTTTGGTTTTTTAATTTGACTAAGACACTTTCAAGCAAACTAAAATAAGAAAACATTAGTACTAGAAGTGTTTGGCCATATGGCTCGTTCAAAATAAATTCGTGAACTTTTCAAAGATTGTTTGATTACTCGAATAAAAATTAAGTCAAAGTTTCTATGGTTACATTAGTGAAGAGTACAAGATTTTTTTTCCTTAGTCACAGCTTTTGCATTGGTTGGATAAAATTTCAAGAGATCCAAAAAATAAATCAACATTTTGTCTTAAAACTTTCAGCCCAGGAATGATGTTTCATATCCAAATAGAACAACAACAAATAATACTCTTTCTTGATGTTTTTCAAGCAATGAAAAGTATCGCAGAAAGCTCTTAAAAATTTTAGAACTAATTTAGTCTCGAAGAAGAACGTTTAATAGTAATACAATAATATGGATGTTGAGAAAAATAAATCATTGGAAAGAAATCTTGCGAAGTGTAAACAGCTTCATAGTGATATTTGCAGTTATTGAGTCAAAACTAATAGATTTAAATATATCATCGAATTTTTGAAGTCATTTGTAGCCTATGTCAGTTTTCTAAATGTCGAAAAAAAACTAAAGTTCGTTGTTTTTTTTTTCTTTCGGATTATCAAACTACAAATTCAATTATGTCGTCAATATAATGTTTTTCATATTGTATGAATAATATATAAGTTATTAATAAAGTTTCAACAAACTGTAGACAAATTCAATAATTTGTTTTCAATTCAGAATACACATGAGAATCGTACTTGAAATTCCCTCAATAAATCAAGACATATGATCGAGAAAGACTTATTATTTTTAGTTCCTATAAAAATTTAATTACAGAGTGTTTCAAAAGTCCTTCGAGATAAAAAACAAACAAGAGTAAATGATTTGCATGACTTTTCTATATATTCGTTCGATGTTTCTACAAGTTTTATTCGATGTAGTTAAGATCAAATGGCAATCCTTATAAATTCAAGTTCTCTTTTTCGACCGACTTTTGAAATATTCTATGTATTCAATACAAAGAAACCAATGTATCATCAAGAGATTATCAATAAATTCAAGAAGTTCTTCTATTCCGATCTTTATGAACACTATAGAAATATTTACTACTCTGTTAAACATTTAAAAAATCGATTTGTCACCCACTGATTATAATCTATCATTGAATTTGCTAATATTTGCAAATGTTCTTTAGTAAATTGTTCTGTTTTTAGATATTGACCTTGGTATTCTATAATAATATCTTGTACAAGTTTATTTATTAATAATTCAAATTGATAATCATTAGATGATAATTGAAATGAACAATTATTTAAATTTCGAATAGCTACAATAGAAAATAATTTAATAGCCGAATGTGAAATATTAATTGAAAACTTATTTAAATCTTCAAAATTATTATTATAACGAGATATGGATGGTAGTGTATGAATATCAACTTGATAATAATCCATAATACATGGCCATAATAAAATTTTGAATTTTGTATAACATTCTCCATCCAATGGTCGGAAACTGTGTAGAAACAATAATAAATTAAGAAAGTCTAGGCTTCTATACGGATATAACTTATACGACTCGACAAGTTCTTCTAGTATTCGAAGTCCAATTGATCTGATGACTGACATATTTTTTCAATGATAATATCTTTTCAAACTTCTCTCAAAAATATTTCATCTAGTCAGATAGATATATTTACAGCAACAAACAAACGAACATGTGAAATTGCACAACAAAATAAGTTAATCGAGCGATTTATTATTAAGTGAATGTCTTCTTCAGTTTAAAACTTTTTGAGTATTATTGAAAATCTCTTGTCTTTTTGTTGATGATCCTAGAATTCAAAGTAATACTAAGACTAAACATGATAGTTTTCGTATCTAAAATATACATGAGTACTTTTTTCATCATAGTCATAAACTATCACGTTTCAAATACACTTTAGTTCTTATGTACTTGATTATTTCGTTAAACGATTTATTAATATTAAAAGTAATCTATCGTTTAATGCATATTTAACCATTCTCAAGTATGCTGACTTTGTTAAAATATGATCGAACAGTTTTTCATATATATATCTATAAAATATACTTTGGAACAATTAGAATAATCGCAAAAGATCAATAGATGCGTCGTTGCCATGTTGAGTGAAAGTATGATCTACTATTCGGACTCGACTCAATGATTTTTTTGTGTCCAATACTAGAAACTACCACCGATTCTACACCACGGTTAACAGTTCCATTACTGAACACAAATAAAAAGCTTATTAGAATATTGATGGAGTAGGTTTAGTTTTATCCCAAAAGTAACCAAACGCTTTCAGATTTTACATTCAAATTTTCCTATCGGAACTGTTAGTCAGACCAGATTAAAGTTATTAGCCTATACATGATGTATTATTATTTTGTTTAGTATAACTCGAAACATAAGATGGTGTCACAAGCTCATGATTTTGTGGTAGTATGGATCATTCCTTCATACACAGCTACTCTTTTACCTCTTCGTTGTATGCCTGATCATATGTTGTTTTTCTATCATAATTACATATTTTTCTGTTATGTTAAACAGCGCTGATATATTCAAACACATTCCTATAAATCTAGTGTGTCTTGTACGAAAAAAAAACTTTTTTGTAGTTTATCTCTTAATTTTAATGCAGTATTTCATACAAGAACTTGTCGTAGTACTATCTTCATGGAAATAAATTAAATTTATGACTGAAACTAAAATGATGCATTATAATGTGGTGATAGAACTTACGAGGAAAGGTTCTCAAATGATACATGCCATTTTCAATGATATTTTGTCTATGTGCTGGGAATATTATTTTACGAAAAATCTTAGAAGGGTTTGAGTTGATGAGACACTTCGTTCGAAAGTTATGAATATTTTATTAATTTTTCTACGTAGCAATAAAGTATATACAGAACAATAGAATTACAAACATTTTTGGATTGAGATTCTATTGTTTAATTTTTCTGTATATCTTGTTGCTACATATAAAAATCAATAGAATATCCATAACCTTCGAAGGAATTTCTATCAGCCCGAATCCTGTTGGAACAATATCTTTAACATATGGAAAAAATATCATTGAAAACAAACAACATGGAGTAATTGGAGAGTTTTCCTCGTTAGTAAATTCAAAATAGACAGAAGTATCAGTCGACCTAGTTTCTCTTGCAGACCACTCTTGTACATTTAACCAGACAGGAAAAAAATTGGTCTGTTGATAACTTTGTTTCTTACAGATGTATTCTAAAAACTAAATGTTATGCAATCACTCGACGAAACCATCTTCTCAAAATTTCTTTTCTTTTTATCCAATGTTATTACTCAACATCGATTTTAGTGAATTGAGTCAGATAACATATTCAAGTAGGAAAGTAAATGTTTATCCACATAATGCATTTCTCCAGAATTGTTTAAAGTATAACCTATTGTCATTGCGTCATGAGTTGTTTGTCTTTCAAGGTGTGTAATTGTTTTTATTTTATAATTACTCATCTAATAATGAAACATACCCGAAAATAGTTTCATTCGATTGATCTAGACATTGATAAAATGTGCTTTTGCAATTACTTTTTTTACACATTAATGTCCAAATTTGATTTGAATTTAAACATAAAAAATATTTTTGTGCAAAACTTGTTTTTAATTTTAAAGTTTTATTCAATAAAGGACGAGATACAGTTTTCGATAATGAAGTATTTTCATTGATTAATAATTTCATTAAAGCTATTTCACGAAATAACTCATTTTTTATTGATGAACAATGAGAAAATTCTATATCAGGTTTATCCCAATTATCTATAGTATTTATTTTTGTTAATAATAATTGCTGATTTGCTAATTGATGTGCATTAAAACGTACTGAATTAAGATCTATAGGAGCTTCATGATCATAATCTTCTGATAAACGACATTCAGTTATTTCTCGAAAATGAGGTATCGACATTGAATAATAATTTGATAACAAAAAAATAAAATAAAAAGCGGTAAAAATTAAAATTAACTTGCAATTTATATTTATTTTAAAGAAAAAAAAAATAACTATCGATTTACTTTGTATGTGATTTTTACATATAAGTTGATTTGATTATGTCATATCCTGTCAAGTCTATTGATAGAATCAAATTTAGAGAAAGTACATTAGGTATTTTATTTTCATTTCACTGCAAATATATACAATAACATCCAATGTAAACAAATCTTATGTATATTTTTTTTTTCTATTTTCTAAAATGAAAAGAAAAACATTTTTAGACAGAAGTCATCAATCTTCTGTTTATTAGTCGCACACACTCAAATATTGTTTTTTACTCAAATCCAATAGACATATACAACAACAGTCAATAGAAAAGAAAGAAAAAAACAAGATGGAAGAAAGTATTATTTATAGATATTGTTACATTTATCTATCATATCTAGGCATGGCCCGATCGGAGGAGAGGGCTATCGGGGGTGTGACGCGTCCTATGAAGAAAATTTTTTGTTTTTTTCCAGCGAAGACGATCAATTTTTCGTACGGTTAAGAGAAAAGTCTTTACACTCTTTCTCCACCGTCATTGTTGGCTGCCTCGGGTCAATCTTAATCGTATCGATCATCTTTTTTAATATTCATTTCATATATCATATCAATGAAAGAATTATTGATAGCTATTTTGGTCATATAAGTACGCTGCAAGTATCTTGTATATGTCAGATATTTCATAATAGACATCCATTGTCACTAAGCAAAAGGTTATCATTGTCAATTAATCAAAATCCGATGAAAAGCAGCAGACACTAGACGTCATTGAGAAAAGAAAGTTCTTGCAGACAGCTGATCAATCCAAGTGCTTTGCTAAGTGCATAGAAATACATTGGATTCTTTTTTTTCATGTCCTGTTATTGATTAATGCTGCTCACTCTTATATGTGTACCAAATCAAAAAACAAACGGAATAAATAAGAGCAAAAACATGTTTATTTGGATTAACATTAAGAAAAGAATGAAAAATTTTATGGTGGTTTCAGTATGTAATAGAACAATATAAGGATCATAAAAAAGAAAATCGATAGAAAAAAAGAGAAAGAACACAGCAGAGATAAAATTCATGGTTATCTTCATAAAAGATGAAAAACAACGTACACATACATATATTCAGCAATAAAATGACATTATGTATTGATTTAATTGCGAAGAATCAAATAGTATGTCGCCGACGAGACAAGTAGAACACCTACTCAGCATGCAAGAAAACAGGTCCGCCTTTTCGTTCTCTTCATTCACTGTGATGTGTGCTCTTTCTCGCTCTCTTCTTCGTTGTTTCTTTCCGTCTGATGTTTTGTTCTGTTTTTCCTTTTTCTTTGCAACGATAATGTGTCTGCATGAAACAACAATCTATCCGTTCGTCGAGCACGCGAAAGAAGCAAGAGAAACACATACACACTAAACTACTATCACTACTACACAAAAGACACGCAGTCATATACACATTAAAGTCGTTGTCGTCATTCTTTTGTTGTCTATTTTTATCATCTGTTTTCGTCGTCTATACCGTCGTTTGTATTTGTATATATTCTTTACTTAAGATGCGTGTCCATAACTAAAACATAAGTTACGAATGAGTGAAAGAAGCACATATATATGTATACCAAATAAATCTATGGATATAACAGATTTTTATACAATCGAAACGCCACCATCATCATCAACAAGTAAAGATTCAACAGATGAATCATTATCATCATTTCAATCAAAAAATAAATTTAAATTATCAAGAACAAATATCGGACAAACGCCTAATCATTCTAATACTTGTTCAACATTAAAATCTACTTTAATATCAAATTCAATTTCAAGCAAAGATGATGAGGTAATCTTTCTTACTATTTTTAAGAAATAAATTCTTATCATCAGTAAATAAAGAAAATTTTCGAAACTAAAAATAGAATATATACTTATAAAAATAACCTTAATTCATCATAATTTGACAGTTTATATGACGCCTACTATAATTATCAACTGTTGATAAGCAGAGTTTCTTCTATAATTTTCTACATTCGTATGTCATAAAAGATATATTATGATAATCGTACCGATAAGATTATAATGTAAATTGGAGTTTTTCTTTTTTTCCGAGTTAGTTGCAAAAACTAATCAAACAAGCACAAGATCAAATAATGAAACTATTACAATACAATACTTTTTAATGATCGTAAAAAATGACTTATTACAGTGGAAATAAAAGAAATAACATTTTTCGATAAGGATTACAATAATCCTTTTTTTCTTTGTAATAAATAACAACTATATGGTTTCTTATTTATTATCAGAGTGATAGTAGACATTAAGTGACAAACTCCTTCTAGAATATTATTTCTATAGAAAAACTAGAATATTTTTTCTATTAATGTAATTGAATATTGTGAATTAAATTAAGCTTATTATGAAACTGTTTGTTTTCAGTTTATATTAATAAATATATTGCTAAGTGGATTGAAGAAATAGAACAAAAATGAATTGAGGTCATCATGAGCTAACACATATTTCGTCATTGTTGATGGGTTTTTTTTCTCTTTTTGGTATTAAATACTGATAAGATTCTCTGAAGAGAACAAAAAGCAAAGAAACGATTTGTGAATACGTAAATAGATATTTAAGTCAAATTATTCTTTTGTGGTGTCGATTTATGATTAATTTTATACGACTTTTACAATGGTTGATGACCTTCATTTCATGTATTTTTCTTCAGATGAATGAAGAATAAATATATAACCTTTTGTGTTTCAGGCCATAAAACTATTTAAATGAATAGGAATGTAATTCTGCTATAATACGTTCAACGTTATATTATATAATGTTATTTATATTAGATTAAGTTCAAAAAGTTGAATAAATTCACGTTACATATTCTTTCAATTTGACGAATATAAATATAAACACGGTGTTTGATTTGATTGTTAGCGAACTAAAATGTTGTAAATAATTTACTCATTCATTATTCTACACATGATTTAGTATCTATAGAAGCAGATTGACATTGACAATACACAAAGAATAAAAATAATAAAAAAAAAGGTTTATTGAATTAGCCCAAAATAGGACACAAGAAAAAAGCAGTAATATATTAGTTTTATGTTATTCCCCATCAGACAAATATTGCCCGATCTGTCACATATATTCAATACGAATACATGTTTTTTCCTTGATTAAATATATGTCAAAAGGTACTTAATTGTATCGACTAGAAACTATTATATGATTAAATATTTATTTTCTGCTCATGATATTCAATCAAATTAATATCCGATTCTTTGAATAGTTGACAACGAGTAATAATAATTATTAGTTGATACTTTAATATATTTAAATGAATAAAAATTGTTTTTTTTTTAAATGTACAATTCTTTCTAGTGAATGATGTTCTTACTTAATGTGTATGTATGTAGTTAAAAAGCACGAGTGTGCCAGTCATCATAGAAAAGAGAGAGATGGAGAGAGAGAGAGAGAGAGAGAGAGAGCAAAAAGAGCGCATTAATTTAAAAAGTGCATATATAAATCCTCTTGTTTTTTTTCAATTCACTACTAAAACGGAGAGACAGATAAAATTAGTTATTATGATAAAAGAAGAGGTGAAAAATTAAAGCAGTCATAGATACAAACTGCTGACAAAATAACAAAGTCTGGCGCTAGTAATAAAACCAGTGAGTATTGTGCTTAATCAAAAGAAAGCAATGAGTTCTCATGTAGATACAAAAAAGTAGTTTTTGTTTCGAACAAAAATAGATTACCATATTTTTGAAAAGAATGTTTTTTCTTAATGTATTTTTTTCTAAAAAAAGAAAGTCTATGAATACATTTCTCCTTAATGTTGTCCTTCAAGTACTGTTTCGGGTTTCAATTAATGAGAAACCTACGTTTTCGAAAAAAAAAAATATTCTTGTCTTTGTTTTAACTTTTCGTTCTTCATATCTCCATTGATAAAAAAAATTTGTAGTCAAAATATATTTCTATTTAAAGTGTAAAAAAATATTTTATTAGTCAATATTTTGAATTATTCATTAATATAATTCATAAATTAGTTTTTTTTAATCCAGTATTGTCAAATATTATATTGTAAACTAGATTTGAATATATCATGCAAATGAACTTTTGTCTGGAAAAACTGGAAAAAATATATTAAAAAGAAACTACTTTCATTACTTATTTTAGTTTTCAAAGAAATTATTATTAATTTATATTCACAGATATATAAATTTAATGTATGCAGCATATTTTATTTTTATTTTTTTTAAAGATTCTCACTGAAAAAGAAGACAATATTTAGTCATTAAATATTTATTTTATTTTAGTTTGATTTTTCATCGTATGATGATAATCATGCACCGCTACGTCGAACTCTCGGTAATACAAAATTAAAAACGCGTCAAGATGTTCGTCGTTTTCGTAAATTTTTAAAACGTAATTATGATTTATCATCAATGGCACTTGTTGACATTGATCCTGATACAATGCGTACATATTTAATACATTATTTAACATCAATTCGCACACGTAAAGGTTCAAAATATGATCCAGAAACATTACGTTCATATTATTTAAGTATACAAAGATTTTTAAAAGATTCAAATTATCCATATTGTTTACGTAATTCACCACAATTTTCTCAATGCAGAGATTTAATTATTCAAATGAGAAAAGAAAAAAATCATATAAAAACACATAATTTACCATTATCAGAAACAGCTGAAATAAAAAACAAACGAACAACAATTAAAAAAATTTCAACAATACAACAAATCTATCAAACACCGGTGATTTGTAATTTAGAACAACAACAACAACAACAAATTCAACTTGATGATCAATCAAAGTAAAAAAACTAATATTAATTCAATTGTTTATTTCGTTTCTTTTTTGTTTTCCAAGTTCTTTGAAAACTACTGTTTCAAAATCATCAAATAATTGTCTTGTATCAACAAAAGACCTACTTCCGTCGTCATCACTTCCACCACGTAAACGACAACAAATGAAATATTTTCTTGAATTTGGTTCACCACATGATTTTATTCTTCTACCAAAAAAATCATCATCAGCATCATCACCAATACAATCACCGTCATGTATTCTTTCATCAGATGCATATTTACTTCTTGTCAAATTTACTCATTTATCATCATCATCATCGTCATTTGTATATCTTTCATCATTAAATTCTTCTTCTTCTTCTTCTTCTTCTGATCATCGTTTTATTCATCATTTTGAACAATTACTTGATGAATCCCCAACATGTGGATATATTCAACGTTTAATGTTAACAACATTATGTAATGAATGGACAGGTGATATACGTCTTATTCATAGTAATCTTCGACCAGAACTTAATTCATTTTTACCTCATATATTAGTTCTTAATATTCTTTCATCGAAATATTCGTATTGAAAAAAAGAAAAACTTATCGATTTGATGATATGGTGCTATCTCAAATTTGAAATATTTTATGGTTTTAAAAAAGCCAAGAACGGAAAAAAACAAAATGAATATTCATTAGAATCAATTGAATTTCTTATTTATGTACATTTCATCTTGGACTTAAAAAGTCTTAATTAAAAACAAAACAATAAGTTTGTGATTTGTGTGATATTCTTCTTCATCACTTTTTAGTCGGTTTAGTTTTTTTTCTTTCTTGATTGTCATTTGGTGACAATTTAATCAAATACTCTTTTTCTCTTTCATGTATTTTTAAATCAATGCATGATGTCAATCGTAACGAGTTTATTACTGACTCTTTTTTTTCTCCTCTTCTTCTTTTTTAAATGTATTATTTCATTTTCTTTTCTTTTGATTGTCAATAAGAAATTTTATTTGAACTTGCTTGTTGAAATATCAAAAAGGACTTTCTTTTTTGAAACATACTATACCCGTGAACAATTCAATTGTAGTTTGTTTCTTTTTCAATGCTTCTGTTTTAGTTAAATGTCCAACGTTGTTTGTCATACGAATATTTTATAAAAAAAATATTACATAATTTCGTTCGTTAATTGAAATATAGCAGAAAAAATGTTTCTTTTTATGTAGTTATGATGCCACTTTCTGTGTAGATCAACATTTTTTTTTAATTATTGCTTATGATGTATTCGTTCTTTTCTGTTTGTTTGACATGTCGTGTTATAAAAACTGATGATTAATTCAAATGAATTGACAAAAATCGGGAAAAAGTAACAAAAGAAAAAAAGTAAATATTACAAGTTATGTTTTTCAATGTTGTTATCGGTTTATTTATAGAAGATAGTTCAATTATTCTTCATCACAATGAAGAGAGTTAGTTTTCATTTAGATGTTTTGGAAGTTAAAGTTATGTGAAAAATTTAATGAACTATAAAACTAGATCAATATATGAAATTCAAATTTATTCTTAACAACAAAAAAAGTCGATTGATTTCAAAATCTAGCGAATTTATGTTATAAGTTAAATACATATTGTCAATATGAGATCGTCAATAATTATGTCTGAGCACGGCTTCTAGTAACTTTTTTCTAGACCTTACTCTGCTGAAATCTTATTAGCTGAAGTATTGACGGAAAGGGTCTTCTGTTACATATTGCAGACGATTTTTTTCCAAGATGTAAGCAAGAATTTCTCCAGTTTGTTAAGTAAATGTCAGTCTGACTTTTCGAGATTTCTGAGTATTTTTAGTAATATTTTAAAATTAAGAATAACGTAAGCAACATTTTAACCAATACCATTGAAATTGTTTGAGTTTGACCAACGAATCTATTCTACGACGATATCAGTTACTTTTAAAAACATCACTACTCTTCTTCGACAACAGAAAAACATGTTCAACAACAGAAATTGTGGCATTTATATTTCTCAAGTAGAAAAATCATGAACACAAATGATATTAGTTTTTTTTTGTCTTATCAGAATATGATCAGAACTTCGAAACATTGCATCATTAGGGTAGTTGTATTGTGAATTAGAAGATAACAGAAGAAAAACTTTAAAACCTTTGATAGTATCTTAGAAAAAAAAATTCCTAATGAAAAGCAAATCTTTTCAAATAAGCAATAAAACAACTACTTTTTTCATTAAATTAAAGCTATTGGCACAGACTTGTTCTTTCTTTAGAAGCCTCTGGTCAGGACAGATCTACGACGTAATATGTCAATGCTTAACATAGATTTACAAATATTTTTAAAATCTAATATGAAGAATCCGGGAACTATGAAATATAATATCAGAGAAACTTCTACCGTTGGTCATAATAATACAATTGACGAGTTCTATAGAAAAATCATTGAAATAAAACAAAGTACTCATCGTCTAACGGAAAATAAGGTCTATTTAACCAAACATACATAGAATTTTATTTGGCTAAGATAATTTTTAAGTAATATAACTGATCACCATAGTCTTCAACCAATATTACCAGTAGAATTTTTTTTAAATTAGTTCTATTATATTGAAAAAGAGTGTGCATAGATATTTGATTTTTTTTTCTGTTCAATTAAACCAAGTAAAAGATATAGAATTCAAGAAAATACACACAAACAAAAAGAAATAGTTAATTCAATCAGCAACATAAATGACTTGATGTTTTTCTAATAGATCAATATCTTTTTCAAGTAGTTTCATTTGATGTTCAAGACGTTCTTTATATAGTCGTTTTGGAATTGTATCAATAATAACTGAAAGTGTTTGATATTCATGATGAACATCTTCCCATTGTTTTTTTAAACCTAAATTTATAAAAAAGTTGTTATCGGAATCTCTGTGGAATTGAAATATGAAACACGATGCAGCTGCTATTACTAATCACAGGAGATTACTTTATTCGTTCTATTTTTGTAAACACTTCTTTCCTTATCATTTTACTTAATGCTCCAGATATGCAATAAGATAGTAGTTGAAATATTATAATAAACCGTTTTTGAAATATGGTCTGTCTCAGTCTCAAGCTAGCGTCTATGACGATCTATAATTAAAATCTGCCATAGTCTGTGGGAAGAGAGGATTCAGATTTTTACTTTATTTACTTCAACACTCCTTCTAGATCGTGTTTCAGAAAATAATTAATTCGAAATCAAAAAAACCTCATGTTCTTTTCTATAAACAAACCGTCAAGAATTGTTTGTCGTTCATCATTATCCATTTCACGCATAGCTCCCCGACGAAAATAATCGGAAACATAAGTTTGATATTCTTGTTTAGCTTTTTCCATATCTTCTCGCCGTGATTTTATATAAATTGGCACTTCACCAAAATTCTAAAAATTAATTATCATGAATTGATAATTTAATTAATAAAAAAAAAATTTGAAAAAAAAACTACTTTTTTCAATATGTATTTTGGTGCTAAACCACTTGAATCAATAGGAAATTTATCACCATATCGATCATCAACGATATTTCGTTCGGATTTTTTTGGTACTGTCATAACAACATCAAGTGCATTTGTTTGAATGAAATTTTTTTCTGTGCGTGCGCCCATTTTAGGGGCATCACGAATACTTGGAACAGGTGGTTTACGTTGTGAACGATCTTTACTTGATGATGTATCTTTATTTGTATGAAAGAGAAAAGAATTTTGTACAGAAAATAAAAGACAAAAGAAAATTTTACGATTATTCGAAGGATTCTGTTTAGTATCATTTTGATGTTTTTTAAGAAAATGTTGTGGATCGGGAACTGGTTCTTCAGCATAGCCCATTGTTCGATGTTCATGTTTGCCTTCTTTAAATGATTCACGAACATTTTGATTAAATTTTGATACATAACTATTAGAAAAAAAATTGATTCAATAAGAAATAAAAATTATCTATTAAAATATACCCAGATGCTTTTGGTACATGAACTTCAGCTCGTGGTATTAAATTATAGACTGATTCTTCTTGTTGATTTTTATTATTTTGTCCGACTACCATCTTTTTATTACAATTTTTTTGGAAAATAATACGATCAAATGATCATAAAGAATTATTGATCATTAGAACATATCAATGCGTTGATGTTTCTAAGCAACGTTTTAATCAAAATGAAATCTAAGTTAAATCAACGAATAATTCAAACAAATTAAAGAATGCATTAGTCATTTAATTATTTCATTAAAACCTAAATGTAAAACCTTTTTTTTTGGAATGTTTTAGGAGGCCGCTAGTTTACAGATGTTTCACTAAAATAAAATATCTGTTCAAATGTTTGATACCGATCATGGAATTATTGTCTAGTGACGCAACCAAAGTTTTTTTTTTTATTAGGAAACGAACCTACTGCAACCTTTCTATGCGAACACCTTTAGCAACAACTTTAAAAACTATCCGGTTGTAAGAGCTCAGCTTCGTTTTCTGTCCTGTGGCGCTGCCACTATTACTTTCATTGACTGTACCGTTAGTTTAATAACTAAAGACTTTTTCCTAATTAACAAAAATCTATTCCCTTCATTGATATTTTTATTGGATTTTTACATTAAAGAAAAATAAAAAAACGGGTTAAACAATCCTTTTTGAAATAGTGAACAAGTATCATGTATTATAAAGATGTAATAAGTGGAAGAAAATTGCAATTATATGAAAGCATTCAAATGAATGTGTCCCGCTATGAATGTTTTCGAATTCTTTTAAACTTTATCATTGAAGAAGGCAATATATATATATACTCTTTGAATGAAAGAATTAACACACCTAATATTTTATATCTTCATCAAACAATAAGAAAATTGAGTATAGAGCTGCCGAACTGAGTAGCCTCTATCAGACCACCGGACTATCCGCCATCTTTAGTCAAAGTTGTTGATCTGGGTCTTATCTTTTGGAAACCAAGTGTTCATGTATTGCCTTATTGTTTGAGAATACTTACGAGAGAAGGTCCCCAAGTGATTCACCGCTTTTGGCTTCATATTTTGCCCATAAGTAGGGGTCTTATAGATTAGAAAAAGCCTAAGAGGATATGGGCCCATATTGCAATTTGGCTAAGATACTCAAGTTTTACCCAAAATTCCCTGTGGGACATTGATTTTCCAGCAAAATCGTATTTTCGAATTTCGAGCTGAAACTTTGCCCAGATAAAGCCCTCAATTAGATTAGCTTGTGAAAAAAATTTCAGTACTTTTGGACATAGTATTACTGAGATATTAATTTTCCAAAATACAGGCGCTTTTCGATTGATATTGTATAAAACATGAATACTTTGAAAAATTCATATCTCAGTAATACTATGTCCAAAAGTACTGAAATTTTTTTTACAAGCTAG